CGCTCCCGGCTCCGCAAAGCCCCGCGTTGCCCGGGGGAGCGGCGGCACAGCACAGGGCTGTCGGGGTCGCGCCGCCGCGGTGCACGCTGGGTATACAAATCGGACGCATGTTAATGAGCCGCAGGCTAACGACCGCCTACGGAGCCCCGCGCGGGGCGGTCCTCCCCCCGCCAGGCCGTGGGACGGCTCGTACCTTCGTACTGCACCTCCGGGTGCGCCGAGCCCAGCACCGCCAGCAGCGGCGCCACTACAGCCGAGGGCGTCTCTCCCAGCAGCTCCTGCGGGACAAGGGCGGGTGGTGGGGGGCCGGTGCGCGCAGTGCTCCCCGCTGTCCCCCCATAGGCATGGGGCAGCCCTAACTAGTGCTGGGAATGGGGCCAGGCGTTTCTCTCTGGCATAACTGTAGGCTTCCCAACTCCCGGGGGCACAAGGGAGGCACCCTTTGCCCCCACCACTCACCTGCATGCTGTGCAGTGTCTGCAGAGCCAGCTGCTGGGCACGGGGAGAGCCGCGTGGCAACACTGCCAGCAGCCCGCTGTACACTTGGTTCTGGTACTTGGGGTTGCCGCGGCCCAGAGAGGCCAGCAAGATCTGCACCTCCTCCTGAGCCTCTGCTGAGCTGCAGGTGGCCAGCAGCTCAGCAAGGGATCGCACACCTGCATGGAGAAAAAGGCGCTAAGTCGGTGCCAGCAGCACTGCTAATGGTCCCTCTGCTGCTCCACCTCTCTTGGAGAAAGCTGTGACAGCAGGTATCACCCTATAGCCACCGGCAACGTGAGCCATAATCCCAACTACAGGGCGATAAATGGTGTTTGGCTTCCACAATACAGGAGTAAAAAAAGAAAGAATAGGAAAAATTATTCTACTGTTCTTTCAAAAGATACGTGCCACCAAAGCCTCAGCCTCCAGCAGGGAAGGCTGGGAAGGTTTGCAGTAGGCAACTGTGGGTAAGAATAGAAACTGCTGTGTGATTTTTGCTGTAGCAGTTGTGAGCAGTGGGACAGCAATAGTGCATCAAAAGAAATTACTGTAAAGAAAGTGAGCTCATTAAAAACGGAGCAGCGGATGAAATATGACTGCTCAACAATAGCTGAGCTCTGAGCTCCCTCCAGTCAGCCCAACAGCTGCAGCAATCTGCTGTCCGGCAGCAGAAGAAGGAGTGGCTCGGTGCTGCAAGCAGCCCTGGGACCAGAGGTCAGGGAGAACAGCCTCACCTGAATCAGGAAAAAAGCACAGGTGGACACACTGCCTACCGTAGCTTTCACAAATGAGCTCCTTGTACTTCCTGCCAGCGTCTGCAATGAGCTGAAGCAGCTTTACAGACTCCCTTTTGTCCTCTTCTTTCAGGTGGTTCAGCCCTAGTATTTCCAGGAGCATCAAGACACCTCCGGTCTCCAGAAATTCAATAATGTATCTGCGTCTGCATGGATGGAGGAACAAAGCCAAAAACGTCACCTGCTTTGGAGCACATCTTCCTGAGCGAGCACACCTCGCTGTAGCAGTGCGATGGCACCTGCACACTGAACACGAGGCACCTGAGGCTCAGCTGGGACAGAGCTTCACCTGTGTACACCTACAGCTGTACCCCGTGCTCGTTTCAGATGTTAAACCACAGGCACAGAAAACCCCATCTCTGCGCTCAGGCTTCCAGTGTGCTCTTTCCACACTGTGCCAATGACCCAGTGGTTCTGGATGTGGGCAAGCTGTGGATTTGGATTTGAGAGCATCTTATAGCAAGCCACAACCCCATTGCCTGCATGCTGCTTCCCCACAGCACCTCTCAGGCAGTGACATTCTGTACTCACCCGCTTGCAGCAGATAAGAAGACGCCAATGGACTTGAGCAGCTTGTTGATGCACGTGCTGTACATGTAGCTGTTTGATAAGGCTAAGGAGAGAATTACAGACTGCCTCAGTGTTCCCCAGGCAACTCTGGCAATGTGGGGGTCTGAACCTGGGCTTTGTTAGAGGGAGCATGGACCTTCCTCTCAAAGGTATGCAGGGGTTCCTGAGTCCAGGTTCCTAATTCTAGGTCCCTGAGAGACAGGCTATGTGACTTTAGTTCCATTTTCAGATAGTTTTTTTTTTTTTTCCTTCCCTGCAGCTGGATTTTTATACAGAAGCTTATTCTTTATACATTTTTTTTTTTTTAGTAGAGACCTTTCCCTTCCTCTCCATCCCATTACCATGTGCCACCTTCGGCTTTCCAAGGAAACAGATACGTCATCCTCAGCCATGCTGCCAGGCGAGCCAGAAACAAGCTGGCTCCCTGGGAGAACTCCAGCTCCAGCTCTGGTTCTGTCTTGCCATTATTGCTTCTAATGAAGTTGTCTAGGATGTGGCTTCGAGCAACTTTGTGAGCTTTGTCCCATTCTTGCAGGAAAATCATGAGCTTCCTGATGGCCTCCTGCTCTTTGGCAGACGTCATGATCTCTTCTGCCTGGAGAAAAATGAGAAAGAAGTTTAATAAAGGCCTTAAAAGTAGGAAAAAAAAAATCTGTATTAAGGAACTACCATCATATTGAATATCTCTGGAATTCTAGCCATTAATTATGTCTCATTTGATGCATTAACAGTCCCTTTGATGTTACTAATTCTCCCCTCTTTGGTTTCTTGCTAGCTTCACAACAAGAACACTACCTCTCATATCTGACCTATCCAAAAGTAAGTAGGGTGACATGAGGGCACAGATGGGTGTGGATTCATGGGGAGTGACAGGGTCAATGGTCAATGCCTGGTAGTGCAGCGTGTCTCTCCTGTGAGTGCACTGAGCTGTTTGAACTGTGCCTAAATCCACTCCAGCAGGACGTGCTTGGCCTTGGCAAAGGGAGAGTGCCTGGGGACCTTCGGCACGGTGGACTTTAGCTCTGTTTTGTTGTCGTCTAATTTCTACGTGCTCATTCTGAGATTTCCATGGTGCATCATGAAAAAGCTATGAATATCTGAATTAATAAGAGCTTTGTGGAAGAAAGCAGGAGATCCAGAAACGCCCCTTGTCTGCACTGCCTTCAATCCCATAAAGCAGTCTGCACTTTACCAAATTACTTTGCCACACTTTTATTTCAGTATGAAATCCCCCCCAGCCCACCCTGCCCAACGTGAGCATGCACTCAGCGGGGGCTGACATCCCCACGACACGCACCCAAAATATCTTTCTACTGCTGTTACCAGGAGCTGCCTGAAAACAGTACCTGAGAGGTGGAAATGCATCTCAGCCGTGGGAAACAAACAAGCAAAGGCTTCAGAAAGTTGGCTAAGGGGACTGAGAACTACGATGAGATGAAATTTCATTTGGGAATTAACGGCCTGTGCTCTGCAAAGAGCCCGTGTCCTTGGCAGGGCGTTCTCAGGATCTCCTTTGCGGGGAAGCAGGTTGAAAATAAATCCATTTTCCCAAAATAGTTGTGATTGAAAGTGTTATTAGCCATAACAAATGTTAGTGCTGACAGGAGAATGGCCTGCTAGGGGCCTCTGGTGAAACAGTCAAGTGAAAGTCATATTTCACATTACTGCAAGCATTTTCCTGTGATTTACAGAATATTTGTGACACGTTACTTGCAAAGCACATGATTGATATGGAGAGAACAGCCAGCGAGCAGAGGGAGCCTGCGTTTCACAGGGACCGCCTGCACGAAATTTACAGTCCCATAAAGAGCTGCTCTGTCCTCGGCAGAGATCTTGTTAAGAGAACTTTACAGCCTGAGACGTCCCCAAATTGATTCTAAATTAAGGCTTCTATATTTATGTTGGAGAAGCCGCCGGTATAACGCTGTCCTATTCGAAAGCCGCGCTCACGGCCGCTATTCAGAAATAGCAGCACCGTCCTGAGGACGCGAGGGCGGCGGCGGCACGAAGGGCTGCCCGCCAGGGCACGGCAAAGGAGAACGAGCTCAGGAAGGACGGCACCGGTCTGCTGGAGGTGCTGTGGTCCATCAGTCCTGGCTGCTGCCGTAACAGCCCCTGCCCACATAATACTCGTTCATTCCGTGCTACAACGCATCCTGAAAACGTTTTGACGATCGCCGCCCCGCAGCCCGCCCGCCCCACGGCCCCTCACGGCCCGCCCGGCCCCGAGGCCCTCACCTTCCCGCGATGGGCGGACACCCGCCGAATAACCGACACCTAGTCCAGCCAATCCTCGCACTCCGCGGCTCCTATCGGACCAATAGAAGGGAGCTTTCTCGCCCGGTAGGCGGGACGCCCGACCCACCGCTGTTGCTAAGGGCGCGTTGCTACGGAAGTGGGAGGCGGGGAGGGGAGGGGAAGAAGGATGACGCGTGGGAGGTGCTTTTCCTTCCTATTGGCTGCGAGCCGTGAGGGGGCGGAGCTTCCGGTGGGGAGAGCGGAAGCAGCGGGTGGATGCGAGGCGGGCAGCGGGCAGCGATGGGGGTTCGCGGGCTGAAGGCAGCGGTGGAGCTGGCGCCGGGGGCGGCCCGCGGTGCGGGACCGGGATCGAGAGGAGATCTGGGGGGGAGCCGGGGGCGGAGAAGGCTGAGCCTGAGGGGTTCGTGGGGTTGGGGAGCGTGGGACCCGGGTTGGAGGGTCCGTAGGGGTATTTGGAGGTGCAGAGGGGGAGCGAGGCCTGTGGTGCTCCTGAGAGTGCTGTGCTCGCCCAGACAGGAGCCGTGAGCTCGCAGCGGGCTGGGGAGCCGCCTGTTAGCCGTTACGTTCAGCTTTGTCACCAGGCAAGTTGCTTCACCTTCAGATCCTAGCAGACTTGAGGCTAATTAATTTAAAATGTTTCAGAGAGCAGCACGGAGAAAGGGCACGCAGATGGGCAGCCCGTGGTGATCCTTCTGGGCTGGGCAGGCTGCCAGGACAGGCATCTGGCCAAGTACAGCGCAGTGTACAGTCAGAAGGTGAGCAGCTTGCTTCTGCTTTCGTGGCACTGTCGTACAGCTCTTGGGGACACTGTCCCTGTTCTGCGCTGTCTTTGTGCTGCGTGTTGGTGAAATCGCTGTAAACCCTCCACGTCTGAAGTCATTAGGTGGTGAGCTCTTGTTGTCCTTGTAAGATCCTTGTGTCCAGCAGCAGTGTTACCTAACAGCTGCTGATGTCATCTTTGTGCATGCAGCTGAGATAAAAATACTGCCTTGGAGAAGTTTTCTGTGGTTCTGTGAATCACTGGAGTGTTCTGAGGCTTTTAAAGTTAACTGCATTAGCTGTCCAAGCAGGGAAATATGTTGGGAAAGGAAATGCATTTACTGCTTGCTGATGGGCAGCAGCATAGACTGCAAGGCCAGGCTGGGGCACGGCAGATGTATCAGCAGCTTTTGCTCTTCCTGCTTTTCCTTTCTCTGCTGATAGTTCCTATAAATGTTCATTCAAATGTGTTGTAACTTGTCTGAAACAGGTGCCCTGTAACAGAAATACCTGCTTGTTGGGAACTTGAACTAGAGGTCTGTCTAGAGGCTGGTTCTTTAAATTATGGTATCTTCCTTTCTAATCATTTATCTTACTGGAATGTCCCCAGCTTGTGGTATTGGGAGGTATTTGATTTTTTTTTTTTTTTTTTGGTCAGCATGCAAGAATGTTTATCCAAACTTGTTTCAACTACAGGTGGTTAAATTTGTACATAAACAAGTGTATTGTTAATGTGTAATCCAGTGTGAGAGTCACAGATCGGCTGGTTCTGGTGAAGAATTAATTGTTAAGCAATTATTGCGACTAAGAGATGCTGCTGATTGGGTGAGGTTCACATTCTGTGGCAGCACGCCAGCTGCTGTGGAAATATTTTTCTGTTGGAAAGTTGCTGATATTGAGAAAGGATAGGAAAGCTTTTCTTAGAGCCTTAATGAGGAAGTGGCTGCAACCCTGGCAAGGCAGTATAGAGAGCTTGGTTTGAAGAACTTGATATCTTCTCTTCTGCTTAATTCAGTGACAAGGGAGCTCTGGGAGGGAAGGCCGCCTTGGTGCCTTGGCCTTGTGTTTGTCAGTGCGTAATGCCGCTGAGTTTAGGTGACAACAGAAGATTGGAAAGGATCTGGGACATCATTCAAGCCTGCTGCAGTTGTAGAAGGCTTTTGATAAGTCTTTGCACTGTTATGATTAATAGAATCCCATTCGTAGAGTTTAGAATATTCTGAGTTGGAAAGGACCCGTGAGGATCATCGAGTCCAACTCCTTCCGTGCTGATGCTTTGCTAATAGCACTAAAGCGTCTCTTGGCCCCATGATTTCGGTTGGAAATCTGTTCCAAATGTCAGTTTGTGGTACAGCAGCTCGCCTGCTCCATATGATTTACAGCCCGAACCAAATACGTGTGGATGCTCTTTCTGTTTAGGGGTGCACTGTCATCCGCTACACAGCTCCGTGGAGGACGATATTCTTCGCTGAGAGCTTTGGCTTCAAATCCCTCCACACGCCAGCCAAGAGACTCCTGGAGCTGCTCTTTGACTACAGCATTGAGAACAGGCCGGTGCTTTTCCACGTCTTTAGCAACGGTGGTGCCATGCTCTACCGTTACATCGTTGAGGCGCTTCACACTCAGCAGCCCTTTAAGAACCTCAAAGTGGCAGGCGCTGTTTTTGATAGTGCCCCTGGCAGAAGGAATTTGAGAGGAGCCCTTCGTGCCTTGGCCACTGTGCTAACATCCACAAACGTGCTGCTCAGGTATCTCCTTATGCTCACTTTTGCTACTGCAGTTGTCCTGCTGCAGATCCTGCTGTACCCACTGACTCGCTTCATCCACCAGAGCCACTACGACGCCCTGCTGAAGGCGCCCTCCCGGTGGCCGGAGCTTTACCTCTACTCCCAGGCGGATGCCATCATCAGTGCCAGTGATGTTCAGCACATGGCTGACGCGCGGCAGCGGCTCGGTGTCCCCGTGAAGGCTGTGGACTTCACAGATTCGGCTCACGTCAGCCATCTGCGGGTGTATCCCACCTACTACAGCACCCTCTGTACGACTTTCCTGTCTGACTGCGTCAGGGCCTTGCCTCCTTAGTGCTGTAACGGCCTCCCTTGTTTGCCTCTGCTTGCTCAGATTGTGTGGGAAATGCCATCCCCTTTGCCTTTATGTCATTGAAGGGAGGAAAGCAAAGACTTTGTGCTTTTCTTCCCCATCAGTTACAAGTCTGAGAGCCAGCCACAACGTAGCAAAAAGTAGATCTGGAGTAATTTAAACAGCTGAAGGTGCTGCAATCTGAGCCCTGAGGTGTTGTTTTTTTTCACACGGAGTGTTGCTTGTTTCCTCCTGTCTTGTCATGTTCTCCATATTTGTGTGTCATGTCCAGTGTGATGTTCTGTGGCCTGGTACTGATTCTACAATACAGCAGACACTCTGCAGTCTCTTTGTTTTCTTCCCCTCTCTGCTGTTTCTTTCATTTTGCATTGAGCAAACAGAAGTAGCTCTCCAAGATTTCCCTCAACTCTTGGCATTGTCTGGTTCCATGAAAGCTCTGAGAGCAGCCAAGGCACTGATTCCCTCGCCCTGGAGCAGACCTCAAATGTTTGTGGTAACTTTTCTGTTCTTGAACCAAAAAAAAAATCGTTAACCTTTTGGATGTGCCTTGTTTCTTCTCTGTCTTGTTGTGTGGTGTTCTCAGTACTTTTGCTTCCCTGGGGAGTGTTTATTACTGCTTGTCTTTGAGCAGCCTGGATTGTGCATCCAACCTTGGTGATTCTACAGTCTGAAAATACAGGGAAACAGCACAGCTGAAATCCAAAAGATCCCAGAAACTGAAAGGTGGAGCCACAGAGGAAAATGAAACTGTCTTTTGGAGCTGTGGTTGGTACTGGGTGTTCCTTAACTCACTTCCTGTGGGAGCTAGCCCACAGCTGACCGTGAAATCCAGTGTTTTTCCCGTAATGTTCTCTTTGGATGATCAGTCTTTGCTGCCCGTGTACTGGTGGTACAAAGCACAAATGCAGCTCCTTGCACTGCCCTTCAGCCACGGTTGGCTTTGGCTGTTTACTGGGGGGAGCGAAGGAGGATAAAGGCAGAGAACTGCTGCAGGGTGAGAGGTTACCCCGTGTCAGCACCGTGCGCTCATCGCGGCCAGCTCTGAATCCCTGCCCCGAGATGGGCAGGAAGGGGCCCCGGAGTTGAAACGTGCGGCTTTAGAGGGTGTGTGGGATACGTGAGAGCTGCCTGAGGGGTCTGAGGGCTGCCTTCCCGGGACGGCAAACACGCTGTCTGCTCTCGTGGCCAAGGCCGGCGGCGGAGCGCGGACCGCCAGGGGGCAGCAGCGGCTCTCGGTGCGGCGTGCGGGGAGCGGCGCCCCGCGATCCTCCCGGCCCCGCCCTCCCGGTGATGGATGAGCTGCCGATGGGCTATTGATAAGGAATTAACCTCGAGCCCTGCCTGCTGCGGTGCCGGTGGAGCAGGAGCGGAGGACGCGCGTCCCGCCGGGAACCGCGCTGGGGAAGGAGAGCCCCGCGGGGGGTCCCCACGTGCGGTACCCCGAGGGCCGGCCCTGCCCCGTGCCGCGCTCCGAGCGGTTTGTTTAATTAAGTGTTTTGCCTAATGGGATTGCCTCATTTCCATCACAAAGCGGCGGGCTGTCATTAGGTGGGCTCCCTCATTCATTACCGTTAATTAGATATGGATCCCCCAGAAGGGTGATGGACGAGGCCCCCGCCGCCCGCTATTACGCATTTGCATTTTCTCAATAACACCTCCGATACATCACCGCCCTCCGCTTCCCAGAGAGATTTCAAATACAATATCGGTGAGGGCGGAGGGCTGGCGGTGGGCTGGGGTGTGTAGGGGCACTCCCAGCCCTCACTGCGCCCTCTGGGCCGGAGCAGATGGGAGAACACCAGAACGCCCCTCCCCTCTCCCCCCACTTCGGCCTTGGGGATCCCGTCCCGCGGGACGCAGCCATCGATCCGTCTGCGCGATGTTTGTACACCGACAGCACCGGCGCCAGCCCCCCCTGCACCCCCAGCTGCTGCGGTAACCCCATACCGTGACCCCAAATGCGGCACTAAGGATCTGTTGGGCCTCCCAGCAGAGCTCCCAAGGATGTGGATGCCCACAGGGGGAGGCCCCCCGGGATGTGTCCTCTGCTGGGGGTCCCAGCCGTGCTGGGGCGGCGATGCAGCACTGCAGGTAGATGCCACCCCAACACCCCCCCCAGTCCCCGAAAGGAGAGACAGAGAGAGCAGGGCGGCACGCCCCAAAGATTTATACGTGTTTAATTAATGTCAAATGTAGTTTACAAACGGGAGTGACAAGTACCTCTTTGTATAATATACACCGACACACAATCATCGACACACCGCAATATCGCTTTGTGCAACTGGGTTCTTTGGGCAGAGATAGGTAACTCCGGGCTTTTATTTACTATTTTTTTTTTTCCTTTTTTTATTTTCCTTCTTCTTTTTAAATGGATTAAAATCGTTACAGGAGAGGTGGTGCCTCCCCCTTGTTCTCCCCTCCCCTTACCCCTCCCCCCTTGAAAACAGGGGATGGCTTTACAATAAAAACATAAAACCAAAAAGAACCAAAACAAACGGAAAAGAACCCAAATGAAGGAACAAGGATGGGTTACGTATGGTTTTACACATCGGTACACAGCGCTGGTCCGCAACACCCACCAGGAACCCTGGCTCCAAGGAAGGGCGGGGAGGGAGGAATCTGCCCTCCAGCCCACTGCACCCCAACTGGGTCGTGATCCCAGCTGGGCCCTCAGCTGTTTTCTCTGTTGGAATCTCCCAACCCTTGGTGCCCCCTGAAAAAGCAGGTCCCCCCCATCACCCTTCCTAGCAGGGAAGGCTGCAAATCCTCCATGGCAAAGGCTGCTGAGAGCACAGAAAGCCAGACACCGTGAGCTGGATGCTTAAAGAACACAGATCCTGGTTTGGGGGGATGCAGTGGGATCCTTCTGAAAGCACTGCAAGAGGCATTGAGGAAAACAGCTCTGCAAAAAAGCACCAGGCTCATGGCATGCAGGTGGCAAAGGGTCCCTGAGGACATGCTGTGCCCCCACAGGACATGCTGTGCCCAAGGCGTGCTTCATCTTCCAGTGACCCCATGGGGTCCCAGCTCCCCTTTACCAGCCACAGCCAAGATGCTTCATGCCCAGAACCAAGAGTGCATGGCTGTGCTGCCCACGCAGGGCTGTGCCCGGAGTGATGCCTCAGGTACGGGGAGAGCAGCATCCCCCGTGGGGAGCTCAGCCCCCAGCAGACCCCACGGTGAGAGGAGAGCGGAGGCAGGGAGCACGCATTCACAGGAAACGGATCAACAGCTGCTTCTTGGGTCCTGAAAATGAAAAGGAACAGAAGAGGCCAGATGGCAGCTTTGGTTACGGCTGAGGGTACGGGCGATGGGGATGAACATGAGGGACGGCGTGGAAGAAGCTGGGGCTGTGCGACCCGCGACCTCAGGCTGGCACAGCCCTGCCCCACAGCACGTGGAGCAGCTCCAGCCAGAAAACGTGACCTGGAAGGGAGGAGAGCAAAGCCAAGCCCAGCCAACCCTGCGCCCAGGGGGGAGGAAGGGGTGCAGCAGAGCCTGGGGCAGAGCTCTATGGGGCTGCCCTGCTGGGCCCCCGCCCTGCCCGGCCCCCTGGGGGGAGCTGAGAGCCGCGTGGTTCCGGGGATAACGATTCTATTATAAATAGCCCCATTAGCTACAACTAATGACAAAAATCCACCTCCTCTACTCCCCATAAGTTCTGTAAGTTATGGGCAATGCTACAGCCATTACTAAAAGCTGTTAACTTCATATCTGAATGAGGAAATATACACCACAGAACATTAAACCATTTATATTATATATATGTATATATATACTTTTTTTAAACTAATGACTTTAATGCCAAAACTTTGCTGAACCAAGAAAAATATGGGTTTAATGTTCTCTGCTCATTTTTTTTTCTTTCTTCTTCTTTAAAAAAAATACAACCCAAAAAAGAAAAACAAAAGGGAAACTTATTAGTATGCAATGTTTGAGTCTATCCCATTTATACACAACATTGTAAACATATATAATCTATATTACATGTGCTTCATTTCTGCCTGGGTGTGGGTTTTTTTTTTTCTTTCCTTTAAACCTTTTTTTTTTTTTTTTAATCACTAGAACACCACAAAAATAAAAAAATAAACCAATAAAAAAAACCAAACCAACCAAACCCAAACGGAACAGAACCAAATCAAAAAACCAACCCAACGAAAACCGAACGAAGGACACGAGTTACAGGTTATTTAACATTGCTGCCAAGGGTCCCTTCCCCAGCGTCCTGGGGGCAGAGTGGTCACAACACAGTCTGAAGGAGGAGGGCTCCGAGCCGCGGCGGGTGGGGAACACTGCTGTAAAAAAGGGGTTGCACAACAACGGGGTCGGCTTCGCCCGCTGCAGAGGGGCTCTGCAGGTGGGAGCCGGGGCTCTCGCTGCTCCCGCGTCCTCGAGTCCGTGTCTGGAGTCTCTGGTTTTGTTTCCTTACGTTTTTAAAACGTCTTTTTGTTTGTTTGTTTGTTTTTCTCTTTCCTTTTTTCCTGGTCGTTCCTCTCCCCGTGGGTGCGCTGAGCTGAGCCGAGAGCCGCCCTCCTGCTGCGTCCTTCATAAGTAGATGCGCCGAAGGTCTCCGGGGGATGTGATGGTGTTGCACTGGGGGCACAGCTTCTTGGCACCCTGCGGGCAGCAGATGGGACGACAGCATGAGCGTGATGCACTGCGGGAACAGCACCAACCAACCAACCCACCACCTCACCTTCAGCCTCACGCAGCAGAGCAGGGGCGGCACGGCCACCCCCTGACCCCCCAGCCGGGCTGAACACAGACCAGCAGCACAGCTGTCGGGTGACCAAAGTGGTTCAGGTGGGGCTGCGGGCCCCAAGGAATCCCTGCCCTGCTCCCCCCATGTTGTGCACACAGGGGGGCAGAGGCTGGGCCTGCTATGCCCCGGTGAGCTGCGAGCAGTGACCTCCAAGCGGGGCCAGGCAGCGGGAGGCTGATACAAGCAGTACACAACATGAACCAGCAGCGGGTGTGCTGCCTGTCACCGAGCCTGACAGCAATGGGGTGTTAACAAGAATCGGGGTCAGCCTCAGATTGGCAGATGTGACAGCCAGCTGGTGGGAAAAATGACAGAGCGAGCTGCTGTGGGGCTGTGCCCATCTCCAGCACCAGCAGCGCAGGAAATGGGGCTGCCCTGACTTGCAGGGCTGAGCACTGCCCCATGCCCCCTCATGCTGCACAGGGCCACGCTGCTCCGTTCTGGGATCTGGAGGAGGATTGGAATCTGGAGGAGGATTATGTGATCCCTGTGCCCCAGGTAGCCTCCCTTGTGCAGGCTGAATCAGCTCAACATGGGACATTGTGAAAGGAAAGATGCCCTGTCCAGGTCCCTCTTCAGCAGCAAAGCAAGGTCACATCTGCAATTCCTTCATGCCCCAGGGAAAGAGAAGATGGGTGGACTTATCCTGCCTGACCCCAGGACCTCAGCCCCGTCTGCACTACATGCTGATGGCTTTGGGGTTCCACTCTCCCCATGTGAGAGCTGCAGGTGGGCTTTCAGAGCCACGTTTTCAACCACACCAGAAGGCAGGACCCAGCAACACACAGATGGACCCAGTTTGGTTACTCTGCAATACCTGACCTGACCACAGAGCAGTGGATGCTTTTTACCTGCACGCAGGGAGGGCTCTTCCAGGACACCTGAGGCCCAGTCCCTGGGTCTCTCTGGAACTCTCTGGCATTCAACAGCTTGAGCAAAAACACTGACTTTGTACCCAGGAGGAACCCCTTTTCTTATAGACAAAGCTATCATCCTCTCCCCATAGCAGTGTGTTAAATTCACAACTGAGTCCTGATTACTCCTTTTTAGACTGAAATCATTTAGAACCCCATTCCTTACACCTGACTTCTGATATCAGTGCACAACACTCCCTGCCACCAGCATTTCAGCTCCTCCGTCTTGCAGAGAGGCCCAGCAACTTGTACACACACCCACACAGGCACAATGAAAATGAGTGTGCCCCCCCACTGCTCACCTGCCAGCTGGGGTTACTAAACTTTTCCCTTGAAATGAAAACACTGTGCAATAATAAGTCCCACCTGTCGGCCATTTCTTTCGGTCTTTTTTTTTTTTTCTTTTTTTTTTCCAGGTCCTTCTGCTCCTTTCATCATCGCTTCATGGAAAAGCCTTGATGTGTTATAGCTGCGTGTGCTGCAGCAAAGGCCACCTCAGCTTTTCCATTATAAAGCCCACTTTGGAGGGGTTTATAAAGCTCTGCTGCAAGAAGTTTGCTCCGGGGCTGTTACAGAGCAAAGCAAAGGGGTTGGAACGGGGAAGGAGTTTATTTTTTCTCCTCCTTTCTTAATTAAAATTTGGCAAGTAATTGATCCACAATACGGGCTAATCACTTGGGGTAGCAGTTTGAAAAATACATTAACGAGAGCTGAGATGTTGAGAAGTCGTCAGGGCTCACGCGGTGCCAGGAAGGATTGGAGGATTCTGCCTTAAAGTTGCTCTTTAAAATAAAAGAAATAATAATTGCGTGATGTCTGCTGTGAATTGACCAAGGGAACAACACCGAAAGGGAAGGGCTCAGGCACCTCCCGCTGTCCTGTGGGGCTGTTTGCAAACAGAATACGCCAAGAGGCACAGAGAAGAAAGAAGTGCACAGCCAGCTCGCCTACGCAGTGCCACCATTAAGCCTGGGCTCAAAGCTCCATGCTTTATAGGAAGGAGAAACGGAGCTGATGGGAGCCAAGAGCCAGCTTCTGCCAGGAGGGCAGCTGAGCCCTGGGGTGGCGTATCCAGCGAAGGCCCTCTGCCTCTCACACACCTGCAGGTGCAGGGCTACAGCCAACGGCACAGCGCCCTTTCCCACAGAGCCTCCCCACAGCACGGAGCTCGCTGCCGCAGGGCGCTGAAGGCCAAACCTGAAATACATGGTAAGAAAGCGGGCAGCCCCACAGCAGCCTGGGCACCACAGAGGACGGAGCACAGCGCCCTCCATGCAGCTGCCGGCTCAGGAAGGCCCCGTAAGGCCCTGAAGGCCCACTCTTTATCTGCACCGTTTCTTAGACAAACGCTCCAAGCCTGCGTGGGACGCGCAGCGTTACAGCCTGGAAAAAGCTGAAAGGCTCAGAACGCAGCGGTGTCATCTAGCAAAGACATAAACGTGTCAACTGCACAGAATGCGCACCTATTGATGGATCCCCTGAAAGCACGCTCTGTGATGAAGAAGGCTTTCTAAAAGCGATTTTTTCCTGCTCTCGCAGTCGTCATTTTCGAATAAGCCTGAGACAGGGAAGTACGAGCCTGGGACCAGCGGGTGCACAAGGGAAATGCTGGCTCTGGCTCTGCAGGCCAGAAGGAAACTCAGCCAAGTGCACCTGCTCCAATTAACCTCCCCCTTCAGCCCTGCACGTCACACCCACAACAGCTCTGAGCTTGGACAACAGCAGCCCGACTTCACTCTTAATTCCATTTATTTCCTAAGGAAGGATACCAGAGTTTGGGAGATGACAGAAGGGCAGCTCCGAGGGCCTTCAAGAACTCAAGAATCCATTCCCCTGGGAAGATCACCTCAACCTGAATTACTTTTGACAGACACACATCAAACTTGCTCTCCCAAACCACCACAGACAGCGGCTCCAAACCTCCCCAGAAAAGCAGTGCAGCAGATCACCCATCTCTCCTGTCAGAGCATTCATCCCGGGAGAAAGAAAACAGACTCACCCCAGAGTAGCTGCAGGGGGCCTCTCAGCTAATGGGAAAGGATAGAGAAGGGGCAGCCAAACATCTTCCAAAGGGAGATTCATGCCACACACGTGGAAGCAGTCCAACAGCCAGCTGAGAGCAGGCACCCAGCTCCCACAAGGGATGGCAGCGAGCTCACGCAAGACTCAAATCCCAGTTTCTGTGCAACCTGATGCTATCATTAGCCCTCTGTCTGCACTTAGTGCTGTACATGAATGTACACCACGATGTCAGGTGCCACAGACAACCAGCAAGCAAGGACCAGCACGGACCAAGCCACAACCAGAGTGTTGTGGCCAGCTGCTCAGTGCACGTGGTATGCATGGCACACCCCACGCCTGTGTGCTCCACACCACAGCCCTCAGGAAGGAGAGCAAACTCCTTACTCCTCTACTCCGGATGCTGGGTGGATATACAGACCTCACTTCCTCAAAGGCCACACGAGAGGAGAGCTGTCTGCAAACGTCCACTGGTACTGATGCGCTGGCTGACTTGACCAGCACCACCATCTCTGTTCCCCTAACTCATCTTCAGGGCCCCTTTCTGCTCTGCAGCAAACCCAGAGCGACAGGATGGAAAGAAGGAACCAGCTCTGGTGGATGCTTCATGGCCAGGACTTGGAGTCAGTCTGGTGCACTGAGCTCCAGTACCTGAGCTGAGGGGCCCAGCAGCCATGTGCAGTGTTTACAAACGCCTCCCTGCCTCCACCAGAGAGAGAACAGTAACAATCTGCAACTGGACGTCAAGAACTTGAAGTCCAAGAACTGTTTTCAGGGAGCCTAAGTGCTCTACAGACCTAATCCTCACCGGTGCCCTCAGACATGACAGCAACCTGAGGATACCAGAGATGCTCAGATTCTTCCAGTACTGCATCCTAGAAAATACCAAAACCCCAAACTCTGAAAATCACTTTTCTCTCCCTTGCTCCGTGACAAACGTCAGCATCAGATTTTATCCCATCCTCAACATCTCACTCAGGTTAACAAGTGCTCCCAGGCACGTGGAGCCTCCATTTCCAAGGCCACACTCAACACATCACTCTCCTCTCTCATGCAAGCCCACTCACACTCTAACTCAGTACCAGATTTGTCAGTGCACAGAACAGAGGCACATGAAGGATGCAGCAGCAGGGATGGCTGCTTTCCAGAGTGTTGGAAGCCCTGCACGACCCACAAGGCCCAGCTCCCATGAACTCCAACGAATTGTTTATTGCACAACAGAAGAAAAATGCTGCCCCTCTCCCCCTGCCAAGCCTTTCCATGTGTGCTACACGCGCAGGCTCCCTCCGATCCCCCTCCTGCCCTGCTGGGGAGCCAGCTTTATTCCCAGGGAAAGGTAACAGTGGCGATTATTACACACACTATCCCACAGCTCCTCGCTTGTTAAAAAAAACAAGAGTCTCTTTTGTGCCCGAAATAAAAGGAGATACCTTAATTAGAACAATGCAGGTTGGTGAGCATTAAACACTGAGCCCAGCTGCTGCATGCCATTAAATTCATAAAAAAGGAGGGGGGAAGGAGGGCAGTCTTAACGAGATTACACACATTGACTTTGATCAAGACACAAAAGCACCAAGGCGTTCCAGGGTTTTTATTGCTGTCTTCGGGCTACATTTTAATGGTTACATTAGAAACATGCGAACACAGGCTGGGAGATTTTTTTTGAGACGGGAAAGAGCGCAAGCACGCCTTGTGAAAAGGCCTGGTGTAATAAATTGGGGGCTGCAGGGAGAGGCTGGGGAACACATGAGTAGCCACTTATTAATTGCTTCCCCTATGCAAGTGCCAAGCCCTAATGTGCTGTCCTGCTGTCCTGCTGTCCTGCTGTCCTGCTCCCATCCCGCCTGGTCGGCAGAAGAGCCGTGTGCTCCCCACAGGTACCCAGACACGCCAACCCCTCAGCACCTGGAGTGAGGTTTTCCAGTTCTTATGACCATGAAAGAAAGGGACCTGACTGAAGTTGCTGAGCCTAAGAACAATCTGAAATTGGCGTGACAGATTTAAAACATCACTTACAGCTGCTGGAAAGAAGAGACGGCAGAGACTCGAGTAAAAAGAAATTAGTGTTTTATCCTCTGCTTGAAGCACTGCAGAGGAACAAGATTAGTCCTCACTTAGCAAAGGTGGCAGAGCGCACATTCATCCAAACACCTCACAGCTACGTGGCCACATATGTGTCTTTTATAACATGCTGCTAAAATGTTTACAAAAGCTTGTATAATCTAAGTAGTGACGGGGTGTAGCTGAAGAGCTATAAAATACAGCCCAAGGGATAGCCAAGTTATTGAGTTGCTATTAGTACTGAAGCCCACAGGCACTTCACCATCCTGGTAACTTTTCTTGGACAAGATTTTTAAAAGGCAGGATTTAAAGGAGCAAGATTGGCTTAATCGTAGTTCCAAGAACACAACATGTTCTATAAAGTAGATTTTGTAATGCCTTACAGGAACACTTTTTAGGAGTGGCATTCCCTTACATTCGTTGCAGCCCAACGCCTTATCGTCTTGCTAACAAGAGAACTAGAAAGCACAACTGACTGAGTGAAATGAAAGCCTGAAAATCAGCTGCACAGGGGAAATGAAAAGCTGATTATAAAGCCCCCAGTTTTAACAAAGGAAAGGAAAACACCATATTTAATAACACCTTAAATTTCAACCTGATGTCCTTCAGCACATGTATAAATCACCACTGCACTGGGTCACCTGCTCAGTGTTCAAGGTAATCCCCGATCTTCCAAACAGAACGGTGTAAGCTTGGAAACTGCACAGCGCTGTTTCAAATAATCCAAAACCCACTGATTCATATTCATAAAAGCCTCTGTCTCTATTGTCTATCCTGAAGACGATTTGCTTTGTTTCAGGTGAATATTAGGTTTCCCAGAAGCTACGCATTCCTTGCATCTCAGTGGATTTGGCCTCCGTTCCCACAGCTTTCCCTTTGCATGGATGCCACACAGGGCACTGCTGGAAGGCAAGGCTGCCCTCACAGCAGCAGAAGAGCAAGCAGTGAGCAGGATTGTGCTTTGGTAACGATGACTCAAACAAAGCTCACCGAAATCAAAGCTAGAGTGAGGTGTTAAGTGGCAAAGACATTAAAGCCTGCATGCACAGCACTTAGGTTGTTTAAAATAAAGCAAAAAGCATCTTTCCCCATGGTGATTTAAAATAAAGTATCCCAAAAGAGAGGGAGAAGTCTGTTAGTCAATGAGAAAGTAGCTAAGAGCCTCACCAGAGTCCGCAGCCAGCATTCTTCACAGTGCACATGCCAGCACTGAATGGAAGTCAGGGGCATTGTGTAGGAGTCCTGAATGAGAAGAAGCAAATAGGTTATTTCCACAGCAGGAATCTATTGATTCTTCATTCCCAATCCCATTGCAACACTGTTCTTTGTAGGGATGGCATCAGACTACAGATGATCCATTAGCCAAGCAAGAGAGGTCTGATCTTGATCTACCATGAGGCGTGAGGCAAAGGAAAAACAAAGCAGAATTAAGAGGGTCTCGTGTTAACAAACTTCTGCTGACTTTCCACTTAAGAACTGAGCAGAGATAGCAATGTTTGTACAGCAGAGGTAGAAAGTCTCTGGCTTCTCAGACCTGCTGGAAGCCCGTAATCCACTCAAGTGGTGACCTGGCTCAGCACAGTTATCGCAAGAGCATCTGAAGTTGCCGTGGCCACCTGCTGTTATTCTCATCAGAAGGGTCACCAGATCATATAAAAAACAGCAACAGGGTAAGATTAACCCTCATCACAACTCTCTACCCTGCAGCAACAGCTTAACTACATCCCAGTAACGCCGCTGCTGCTTCAGCAGAGCGCTCAAGTGCTTTCCATGATTGCTAATAAGCCCCTGAAAATCAGCAGTGAACTCTTGTGCCTTTCACGGGACAAGGCAGGGGAACTGCTACCCCCATACCCACAAGTCACAGGTGGGAGAGACAGCGCCATGCATCAAGCTCAAGTTGCAGAGGGAGCCCTCCACCAAGCAGATTTTTCTCCTGCCATCAGCAGAACGAAGACCTAACAAGGAGATGAAACGCTTTGCAAGCTCAGACCATCAGAGGGAGCTGCTGCCTTTCTTTACGGAGGCTACAGCATCACCACAGAGGAAGCAGGACAACTTTTAAACAGGCAACATTCTTGTTCTCAAATCGCAGGGTGGGTCTCAGATCATGGAATGTACCCTTTTATGTATAGAAAGAGAAGAGAACACTCGTATCTGGGAATTCTCTCTGGGGAGCCTGAAAGCTTCCCAAAGTGGGGGTTTTCTTGGCTGTAAAAGTCAGTGGAGCAATGTAATGGACACAGAAAGTCCAATTTCTAAAACAACCAGGCACTTACACTCAAAAGGAAAGAGATTCTTCATAGCGTACAGGGATGAGGCTGACTTCTCCCCTCCCCAGAAAAAGGAGAAAGGAAAAAAACTTTCCTCCTTAGCAAAGATAAGGGAAAGACACCAGGGCATTTCTGATTCATTACCACAAGTGGAGTGCTACTCACCATGCAAATGAGACATTTATAGCGGTCCCCACGGGAAAGCTGCCTTTCTAACTCACGGACACGAGCCTTTAGTGCTTCAAATGTTGTCACTGCAGAGTCTTCTGTAATTCTGCAAAAGATGATGGAGAGTGAGCATCACTGAGCACACAAAACTGTTAAGAGTTCAGGGGGAAAAGGATCTCACAACAGGCGAGCAACAGAGGAAAAAGTGAGCAAGATTCAAACGTGCATTGAAAAAGAGTCTTTGAAAAACCCAGTGTGAATTCTTGGAGGTCTGCTACTAAGCAGTTCCAAACACACCACGGCAGCACAACAGGACTAGTGCTGCCAACTGCATAGAAGGCAAGTTTCTGCAAGACGTGAACACTTAAATAATAGATTTTGTTAGTTGTTTTCTGTCTCCTGTGAGCGATTCCATGGGACCAAACACACAGGACAAGGCTCTGGGCGCTCCTTCAAGCTGGTGAGCTAACTTTGCATGGGCAACAGGAGCTGCTCTTCTCCTTAAAGAACGGAGGCCGCTGCTGACCATCAGACTTGTGAAACACAAGATCTGCATTACAGAGGATCCACACAGTGCTGCTCTAGCTTGTTGGTTTCTAATACTGAAAAGGAGAAAACCAAAAGCAACAGACGTTGTGCCAACAGGGAGGCTATAAAAGCAGCTTTACAACCACTGCTTTCCCATTTTCTAGGGTCATTTTTGATGGGCAGCATTATCTCTTTTGTCACAGAGGCACTGTGCTGAGGGCAGGCAAGTGTATTTTCATGGCTCTGCAAGGCTGGTGAAAAAAAGAACTTGCCAACCTAAAAGCAAGGGCAGGCAGTAATGCTTAGCAAATGAGATGCAGGGAGCATTACAGACAAGGATGTGTCACTCCAGCATGCTGCAAAATCAGATTTCTGCACAGTGCAGACACAGGCATGGGCCCTCCAGCATTCCCCAGGAAAGGTTTGCGGAGTATTGCACTGACATTAAGGCTCTCGCTCTCTTTAATCAGAAGGAGATTCGTCACAAATGAGTTACTAAAAAATAGCAGAAATTCATAAACTGGAAAAAAGGCAAAGAAACACAGGGCCCACCGTAGCCTGGTGGATGGCAACCACGTGGAGACAGGGACACCGTGCGTTCAAGTCTTGGTATCAACAAATATTCTTTGGAGCAAAATGAAAGAGCTTTAGTAGGAAACAGAGCTCCCTGCTGTGAAACATCCACTTGCTCCCGCTTGTTGGTATAAATTATTATCATATCCCAGTTTGGGTTCTCACCCTCGGGGGAGAGTTGTCAGAATTTTCAAAGAAAGTGTAGAAAGCTGTTAGTTTTGTCTGAGGGAGGAATAGGATTATTTATTTATAACTTAAAGATTACTGTGGGATGAGAAAATCATTTCCCTTCCAGCCTACCCTGTCAAAAAGCTGATGCTAGATGAAGGCTGCAGCTGAATTTGACTTTCTGGAATCTGTTTCTCTCTTCCTGCATGCGTGAGGCTACTGGAACTTAGAAGGCAGCAAGCAAGGTTCCTGCCCAAAGTGGAGAGCAAGCAGGAACCTCAACCCTTGCTAAATTCCCTACCATCCATGGAACTGTCCTTTCTCCTTTGAAGAGCAAGTGACTCAGTAAGGAGAGGGAAAAAAGGAATCCTTGAGCAGATCCGAGCAAAAGCCAATTCATCTCCAGACCTAGCCCAATAATGGTCAAAGCTTGAAAGGGAAGAATTTGCCACTGCAGCAACTAGAGGAGATACAAAATGGCTTGTTTATAGAGGCCTAAATGGCTGACCCCCATCAGCCAATTTTGGAAAGACTCTGAGATAATCGCACCTGTCCACTAATAAATGAATGAATCAGAAAAGGAGGCTGAATAGAGGTATAAGAAATAATGCTCAGAGGCTGCCTGATACAATGGCCAATCAATAGGAGGGCTGTAGATCAGGGTGCTAGTTAGCTGGAAAATTACCGCACTGCTGCGTGCGTCACGCTGTAGGGATCCTGGACAATCAATGTGGGAGGTATTGATTTAGTTATTATCACTTCATACGCTCCAGACATTGTTAAATATACATTTATTAACAAGACTGGGGTGCATTGGTAAGAGGGAGCTTCAGCCACAGCAGTATCTCCCAGCGCTGATCAAAGCTCGGCTGTAACAGACTTTAAACTCCATGTTCTTGTTGCTAAGTGTGCTCTCAGGACAAATCCTCTGCCCAAAGCACAGCTCCCAGCTCCCAAGAGAGAGGTTTTTGGCCACGAGCGAGTATTTTGCACTTGAGCTTTCAGGAAAGCCTCCTGGAGCAGCAGCAACAAGGGACATGGGGGCCAAGGGTCAACCCAAAGCAAGCGATAATTGCATGGCTGCTTCCGAAAAGCCAGAGGAAATGAGGTCAAGGGAAATAGGGAGAACATTAGTAAATAAAGGAAACTGGAACTACCTCCAGGGATGGAATAAAGACGAGAGTCACTTCCCATGTGTCTGGCTCCCGTGGTGGCCAGCACACTTGGGACACATACCATTCCATTTAGTGACATTTTACCGTCAACCTGCTGCTTGTATCCTAAAGATAAGTATCACTTCAGAGCTACTCTTCCTGCAGCAGCAATCTCAGGAATTCCCTGATGCTTCCCTCTTGCATGCACACCTCATGCGAGTTTGCTTGGAGACAGCTGGGAGCAGCTTGTGCTGCGTTTTTAAGGGCTTAGAAAGGCCAGAGTGCAGCGAACTCCACAAGCCACCATGCCAAGGGAGGCTGAAGGAATGGCAATGAAGAAGGAATTTGGCTCCAGAGCCATGCTCCTTGCTTTGCCTTGACCTCATGTCTGGATGTGGGAGAACCATTTTAGCAATTCTGTGCCTCAATGCTCTGATTTCACATGTTTGGATAACGTCATTCACCAGCCTCAGGACAGAGACGCTGAGCACAACTGCTGCAAGGAGCTTATGCATCCAGCCCTGGGCTGCTGCTTCTCCAACCAGGAAGGAGGGAGCAGAGCAGCCTCATCATCTCCTCCATGGCAGAGGACAACTCAAGAAGGCATATCCCATTCTTATTGGGAAGCTACACCTACCTCCACCACAAATATGGGAGCCTCAGCACAAACATTTACACCAGAACAGAAACGTGAAGGAAGGGCTCTTCAGAGAAGAAGCTTGGTCCTGCACTTCCCTATGGACTCCCAAAACTTGGCAGTCACAGCTGGGCATGCTGGGTATCACGGAGCAAGTCTACTGGGAGACTGGGAAGACCAGCACTTTCCAGTCTTCACGCCCAATACATGTTTTTCTACTGTTCAAAGCATGTTCTTCCTCTTGTCAGTACAGAAAAAAAAAAAAGAACAAACTTACTTTCGTTGAGCAAATCCTTGCTTTTGTTCACATAAAAGGCCAGGAGAAGGGCACAAAAGTGCCATGTAAGAGAAAAAGGACCTATCTGTACCTTTGATCTGGTACTCAGCAAGCACCTGCTGGGAAATCTCCCCTGGGAACAGGTTGCCTCCCCTTTGCAAAAAACTTTAACCCAAACACTGGTTATTTGTCAAACATTAGCATGCATGTGATCTTTGTTTCTCCAAATTAAATCGAGCAATTCCTACCCGCTGTCCCAGTGGGCAATCACAAGCAATTCCGTTAATTAAATTATCTCTGATTCTGCAGCTCTGGAATCTCTCAATTGACTAAGTCTGTGCTTTATCATCAACAAAATACTGGACCAAAAAGGAAACAAAAAGATACCGATGTCAAAGTGATTGGCTTCGGTTAACCCTTCCCAGATGGATATTAAGGGCTGCTGAAAAAACTGTTTGACTGGAAGGGGCCCAAGAGCAAAAGCTTCATACCAGACACCAGCAGCAGCTATTCACCTCTGTTTCCTTTCCATCATACAAACAGACAAACAAGAAATACATCACTGCATCTAGAACCCTGTCTATCTGCCCATGTGAATAACCCCATCCACCCTTACCAGGTCTCATTTGCAGCACCCCGCTGCTGAGGAGCCTCCGTTAAACATCCCCCTTTGGTTTCCCTCTGATGGATATAAACATTAATTTCTTCATAAACGGTCACACTGTACACAGCATTCCATGTATTTTTTACAGTTCCACTATTTGTGTGTCCCCTGTAAAAAAAAATGCTTAGCACCGATTAAACGCACCACCAATAAGACTTCATGGGCCTCTTCTGACACTTGCTATTCTGACCTTTCTCCCTTGTGCTCACACCTTTATTTTTGTTTCTGTATGTCTGTAAACACAGAGTGGCAGTAACAAACCTGGCAGCAATGGCTTTATTTTTAAACAAAGACCTTATTTCCCCTTGTCCAAGGTGGAGAACCTGATCCTGGCAGAGCATACCTGCCATTTCCCTGCAGCAGGGGCAGAGGTCAGGCTGCTACCAGCTTACATATCATAAATATTAGAAACAGACTGGTTGATGCTTTGAAGGCAGTGTAAAGCTAAAGTGAGATTTCAGGAGCAAAGAAATTGCTTCTGGCCATATCCAACCACGCCTCCAGATGATGGTTATCATAATCACTACTTCATTGCAGAAGAGAAAGGCTAATATGCACAACTCACCGTGTGGGCACAGAATTCTAAGATCCGATAAAATCACAGAATTCAGTTGGCCTGGAAGGAACCTCAAAGCCCACCCAGCTCCAACCCTCTGCTGCAGGCTGGTTGCCCCCCACCAGATCAGGCTGCCCAGGGCCCCATCCAACCTGACCTTGTGCATCTCCAACGATGGGACACCCACAGCTCTCAGGGCAGCTGTACCAGTGCCTGTCCACCTTTTTGTCCACGAGGATTCCAAAAGTCTTACCCACAGAGCTGCTCTCAGTGAGTTCTCCCAGTCTGCACTCATGTCTGAGACTGCTCAAACCAAATGATCTCCAAAGCACCAGTGCACAATCACTACCTACCATCCAGGACAAGGATGCTTTTCGTCTCCACTTTGGTGAAAGAACCCATCCTCCCTTTCAAGTTAGCAAGCACTACCTGCAGCACGTGCTATTGCTAAAATGATGGGGGGGTTCATCGGGGCAGATGTGTGTGAGTTCTGCTGGGGGATACACAGCCACAGTGCCAGATTCCTCACAGCAGCAAACTGCACAGCAA